TGTTTAGTAGAGACAGGATTTCGTTCTTACTCCGGCTGGTCTTGAACTCCTGAGCTCAAGCAATCCTCCCACCTTGGCCTCCCAGAGTGCTAGGATTACAGGTGTATTGTACTTTAACTTTTATGATGCTTTGCTCCCTTGTTTTCCTCCTTTCTCTCTGCTCTTTCTTGATCTCTTTTGCAGGCTGGTCTTTCTTTATCTAGGCTTTAAATAATGGCCCTCTCCAAATCTGACCTGGTCCTATATTTCTTCTAATTCTACACACTCTCACTAATTCTGTGGTTTGCATTATTTCTTATACAATCTGTATATTCAGCTTCCTACAGGAATTTCTACTTAGATGTCTAATAGGCATCTGAAACTCAACATGTCCAAAACAGAACAGATTGGCTAGTGGGAGTTGCCCTCTGCTAGTTACTATTTTTTCTATGAAGTTGGAGTCTAGGTTAATTGAGAGTAAAAGATGCTTTGTTTGTGTGTGTGTGTCAGGCTGGAAGATGAAATTAGAGATTTTATGAGTCAAGAAAATTTGAAAAAAAATAGTGTGCAAAATGGGAGAAATAAGGTGATCAGAGAAATTTAGTAAGACTTCTGCTTATTCTCGGAAGCAGCATAGTATGAACACCTAAATTCTAATTTCCAAAATCCCTGACTTTGAATTCTGGCTCTTTCACCTAGTAGCTTTGTGGCTTTAGGAAAGTTACTTAAACTCTTTCCAAGCTACAATTTTTTCCTCTAAAATAGTGATTAATGATATTGGGCCTAAATTTATAGTTCTTTATGAGGGTTAAATATAATTAAAGGTAATGTGCCTGGAACATAGTAGGTGATCATCAGTTTCTGTCCAGTTACCAGAAACGTTATTCATTTTTATCTCATCTTCCTCTCTCACTCTCCATGTGCAAACAATCTCTAAATTCTGTCTCTCTACCTCCTAAATAGCTCTTGGATTCAACTTCTCCACTACCTCCATAACTTTAGTTAAAGCCACTATCATCTCTCACCTGAATTACTCTCATGGACTCCAAATTGGTCCCACCTTTTAAGTTGCTCTCCACACTAGCTGCCACTGCAATCTTTCCAAATCTTTCTAAATCTTAACAAATTTCCAATGCTCTCACTTCTTCTTTGTATGGCTTGCAAGGATCTGCATTCACTGCCTCCTGAGATGGGAGCTGTATTATTTTTCTATAGCTGCTATAACAAATTACCATGAATTTAGTGGCTTAAAACAACATTTGTTAGCTCTCAGATCTGTTGGCCAGAAGTCTACAGAGTGTGGATGCGTTCTCTGCTCAGGCTATCACAAGGTTGAAGCCAAGGTGTCAGCCAGACTGAATTCTCTTATAGAGACTCGGGGGAGAACTGAAGTCCCTGTGCTTTTGCTGGGTGTCAGCTGGGGACTGCTGTCAGCTAGAGGGTACTCTTGGGTATTTGCACTGTGCCCTTCTCCATCCTCAAGCCACCAGCATCCCTTGCCACGTTGTCCCCTCTATTTTCAAGCCATCAACAGTGTGTTGAATACTTCTCATTCTTCGAATCTCTCTAATTTCCTCTTCTGCTGCCAGCCCAAGAAAACTTGTAATTTGGTAAGGACTAGTCGGATAATCTATCTTGAGGTCAACTGAATTAATAACATTAATTCCACCTGCAAAATCCCTTTTGCCATAGAACATAATCATGGGAGTAGTATCTCATCATAATCACAGGTCTACTCATACTTAAGAGAAAATTAGTAATCCTAGCACTCTGGGAGGCCGAGGCGGAAAGATCGTTTGAGCCCAGGAGTTCAAGACCAGCCTGAGCAAGAGTGACCCCGTCTCTACTAAAAATAGAAAGAAATTAGCTGAACAACTAAAAATATATAAAAAAAAAATTAGCCAGGCATGGTGGCACATGCCTGCAGTCCCAGCTACTCGGGAGGCTGAGGCAGAAGGGTTGCTTGAGCCCAGGAGTTTGAGGTTGCTGTGAGCTAGGCTGACGGCACAGCACTCTAGCCTGGGCAACAGTGTGAGACTCTGTCTCAAGAAAAAAAAAAAAAAGAGAGAGAGAGAGAAAATTATACAAAGGTGAGAGTCACTGGGCGTCATCTTATAATTCTGCCTATCTCAGGAGAGGAAGCCAAGGAAAACATCCCTGAGGGCCAGGGCATGGTGGCTCATGCCTGTAATCCTAGCAGTCTGGGAGGCCGAGGCAGAAGGATCACTTGAGCTCAGGAGTTAGAGACCAGCCTCAGCAAGAGCAAGACCTCATCTCTACCAAAAATAGAAAAAAAAAAATTTAGCTAATTGCAGTTGTGTGCACCTATAGTCCCAGCTAGTCTGGAGGCTGAGGCAAGAGGATCACCTGAGCCCAGCAATTTGAGGTTGCATTGAGCTATGATGACACCACTGACTCTAGCCTGGGCAACAGAGTGATACTCTGTCTCAAAAAAGAAACAAAACAAAAAATGCATTCCTGAGGAATTGTTGCTTGAGCTAAGATCAGATGGACGAGTAAGAGTTAATTAGGTAAAGAAGGAAAGGCAAAACTTCTAGAGAGCATATAAGAAAGCCATGTATCTGGAGGACCTATAGCAAAGAAAAAAAAAGGGAGGGAGAACTAAAGAAAGACCAGTGAGTCCACAGTGGAAAGAACAAAAACTATAGTGACTTGAAATAAGATGACTAGAGATGTCAGTAGAAGTCAGGCCATGTGGGCTTTGTAGATACTGTTAGAAGGTTTCCTCGATCCCAAAAGCAAGGGTCAGAAGAGTGGCATAATCAAACTTGTATTCTGAGCATATCACTCTGGCTATAAGGTAGAGGGTAGGAGAGTAGTGCAAGGATAGGGTAATGTCAGTGAATGTACAAGCAGACAGATTCAAGGAACACTCAGTAGCTAAAATCAACAGGATTTCGTGATTGATTGAATATGGGAGTGATGTAGTTATGTTCCCCAGGAAGCAGACTCTAAAACAAAGATTACTGTGAAGGATGTTTACTAAGGAGTGTTCTTGGAGTTAACACCTGTGCAAGGGAGAGGATGAAAATAGGATTGGGTAAAAGGAAAAGCTGAGCAGTAATTCAGTCCCAACAAAGACCTCAGTCAACCCCATGAGGAACTCTGGAGTTGTGAACATCTTTCCGAGTTGTCCTCCATTGGGATAAGGGGACTAAACCTTTCTACCTCTGTGCTGATCAGTCATTGGATGCAGGATGCCCCAGAAAGGGAACATGACCTTGAATGAGCCAGCTTTTTTCTGCTCAGGCAACTCCTGAAAGGGATTGACAGTTGAGTGCCATCCTTCAGCAGCACTCTCAGTGGCTGGAGAATAAATTCTTCATTTTTGAAAAGGAGTCTGGCATTTGTGTCACAGCCTCCATGACGGGGGTGAAAGAGCATAAGGAAGCAAGGCATTAAGGGTGATTCCTAAATTTCTGATGTGTGCATCTTGGTGGATGCACTTAGCAACCATAAATTGCAATCATTGACTTACTTGGGAAAATCCCCATTAGAGTGGGTGCTACTCAGGGACAGGCTGTATTGGACAACTACTGCACAGCCCTGTAACTGGAAAATAGTTTGCTGAATAAGTGAATGTCTGTCTACTTCTATTTCCACTCCTCTCTCCCCTACATTCTCCTTTGCTCCCATGCCCCCACATCCTACCATCATCCAACGTGGGAAAAATCCAGCAGGTTATCTGACGATCCACCTGTGCTGCAGCTGAACAAACAGCAAGTCAAGCTCCTCTGGTGCAGGGCTGTCTGATGGGCCAGGCAGGCAGTGCCAGGAGGAAGGGGGAGCAGGTGATGACATCCCCACCCATCCCAGGCTTAAACTCTCCTTCAATGCTTCCGCCCCTTTAAACTTAGTGCTGGCTGGACCAGGTCCTCTCCAAAAGATTGGATATGGGTTCTCCAAATTCCCCACAACTCCAGACCCCATCCTCTAATCTGCTCTTCCACTGATTCCCCTGCCTCCTACAGCTACTGCTGGGGACCAGAAGCTGGAATTTCACATGGTATTAGAGTTTCTTGGAATTGAGAATAGATAAGGAGCAAGGCTGAAATAGCAGAGAAGCAAGTCCTTCCGCCAAAAGCTCAGCCCACTGCAGTCCCGCATACCCATCTCTCAGCCTTGTTCCTGCTGCACCCCAGGGACCCAGTCCCATTCCAGCCCCCTCTCGTGGGAACCGGACACCCTACACAGGCCGCTCCATGTGCTCTGAGAGCAAACAGGGAGCGTCAGCGTGTCGCGTGGGGGTGGGCGCTGCCTGGAGACCGCTGAGAAAGCCAGCTGCCTCCTCCCCTCTTTTGCCTGCTCCTGGCTGGGGTTGGAATCATACCCCACCCTCACCTCACCTGGGTTTATCCCAGGCAATTTTCGCCATCACCCCCAGCCGCCCTCAACACCCAAGTCAGACTCTTCCTTCCAGCAGCCCTGTCCCCTGCCCAGGCTTCCCTGGGAACACATGCGCCCCGCCCTGGCCCCGCCGCTGAAGGTTCCTTGGGAGCCTTAGGTGGAAGTCTGAGTGTTGGGCCTCAGATAAGAAGTGGAAGGTGGGGGGGGCACATGCAGGGGCTACCCCAGCCCCACGGCGAGGAGCCCAAGGGGACTACGGTAGTGACAGAGTCACGGTCACTGCAGCACAGTACGGTAAACGCGGCGCTGAACGTAGGCTAAGGCACCTTGGCCGCAGCGGGTGACGCACGCAGACCTGGTCTCCAACGCCACCTCCACGACCCCTGACCCACCAGAGAAAGATGCTGGACCCCGCAGCAGCCGCTCCCTATCCCACCCCTGCTACACTCCTTCTGCCTACGCTGCCTGCGCGCGCGCGCGTACACACACACACACACACACACGCGCGCGCACACATGCACACACACACACGCACACATGCACACACATACACGCACACACACACACGCACACACACACACGCACACACACACACACACGAATTCCCAGGAATAGGGAGCGCTGGTAAAGGGGTGGGCAGGAAAGAAATCTCTAAGAGAAGGCAGGAGAGGTCTAGGGAGGGGCGATCCTGGTGAACAGTTACACAGGGAGGCGCGTAACTCCAGAGCAGAAGGGGCGGAGAGTCACCTGGAGGGACTGAGACAGACCAGAGCAGGGAAGGGACGGGAACCTAGGCGGGGCGAGCGGAGAGGGAGTGAAGGGGCTGGGGCCAGGGTTGGGGGCGGGGACCAGGGGGGAGCGGGAGCCGAGTGGGGTGGGCGGGAGCCTGAGCCGGAATCCCAGCGTGAGCAGGTGGAGCCGCGGCGGGAGGCAGCCGGGCCGAGCTGAGTAAGGCGGCAGGCTCGGCGGGGGCCATGGAGCTGCTAAAGCTGAACCGAAGCGTGCATGGATCCGGACCCGGGCCGGGGGCTTCCCTGTGCCGCCCAGGTGGCCCTCTCCTCAACAGCAGCAGTGCGGGCAACCTCAGCTGCGAGCCCCCTCGCATCCGCGGAGCCGGGACAAGAGGTGGGTGCCTTCCTGAGCCCCCTCCACAAGCTCCTCATCACTGCACCCCATAACACTAACAGAGGCCCCCATGACCCCTCCACTACTCCCTCAAATCCCCACCCCATCCGCCTCCAAACAGCTCCCCCTCGCAGATGCACCCCCACAGCTCTTACAACTCCATCACAGCTTCATACCACCTGGTTAGAACTCCTTCACGTCCCGGTCCCCTGGTCACACCCAGAGCTCCTTCTCACCCCAGAACACAACACGCACCCCAACACACAGCCCCTCCTAGACACAGCCGTTGGGAGGCAAGGACCTCCTCTTGCCAATCCCTCCAGATCTCTTTTTTCCTTTTAGATTCAGTTCACAGAGCCACACAGCAGGCAAGGGAAGGGAGAAAAAGGCAAGACTGGGAGAAGAAGGGGGCTGACTGAGGGAAGAAGCACTCTGAAAGGTCTGAGTGGGATGTCAGAGTTATAATCTCCTGTGTCCTCCATCCTAACCCTCAGCCTTCCCAAAAAAGATCCTCAAATCTGAATTTGGCTGAACAATGGAAATGCTCCTTAGAGCTGCCTGTCTCCATTTCACTTATCCTCTGCCCCCCAAGTTGGAGTTCTCAAGGCTCTGTGCTTTCTCTTGTTCAGTCTCCAGGTAATGTCTCCAAGTCCCTTCTAAGCCTTCTCCCAAGCCCTAGGCTTGTAGTCCCTAAGCTAGGTACTGGGGACACAGGGTTGAACTAGACCCAGTCTGGACCCTCTTTAGTCTGTAGTCAAGTGCAAAGGAGAAACAAGCAGATGGAAAAATTACAGTAGACATGGAAGTCCCATGATAGAATCTGAACTGTTGGCACCCAAAGAAGATGGAGTCTGAGAACTATACAAAGGATGGAACCTGGGAGCTGGGTCTTGAAGTTCGAGTTCAGTGGGCAGACAAGGAAGGAATGGAATTCTAGGTAAGGGAACAATATTAAGCAGAAGGAAATTATTCAAAGTTCAAGAAGGGAAAGTTGGAATAAATTGTAATCCAAGTATTTATTTACCGCACAAAATAATCCTTGCTTTCTCAGCCTAGTTGTTACGCACTTCCACTTAGGTTTATCATTCGACAAATATTTATTGAATGAGAGATTGTGCTGGGCAGTGAGGATGTAAATTGAACAAAATTGACACAATTCCTACTTCATGGAGCTCAGAGTTTAGTGGAGGAGACAGACAAGTAAGTAGGGAACTGCAGGTTTTCAGAGAGCATGATAGACCTGGCTAAGAAATATGGATTTTATCCTCAGGGCAATATGAATTATTACCAGGATTGGCTCTGTAGTGCAGAGGACGGACTAGGGGGCACGAAATGGAAGGCAGGGGGACACTTTAGAAGGTTATTATATTACACCGGTTGGAATGAAAGATGGTGCTAGCTTAGCCGAAGGTACTGGCAGTGGGGATGGAGAGAAGTAGATAGATTTGAGAGCCACTGCTGGAAATGAAATCAATAGAACTTGGCAATTGATTAGAAGTAGAGAGGTCAAGGGATGATATCCAGGTTTTTCACTTGAACAATTGAATGGATGTCGTTTCTATATATAATGAGAAAGATAACAAAGAAGCAGAAACAGGTTTGGGAGATGGGATTATAAATTCAGTTTGGAACCCACTGAGTTTAGATGCTGGTGGGACATCTAAGGTGAGGTTACCCAGTAAACTATGGATTCCAGGGGTCTGGGATTTACAGGAGAAGTCTGAGGTAGAAATACAGATTTGAAAGGTCTTTACCTAGAGGAGGTAGAAGCCATACAAATAGATAATATCATAAAAGATTGTGTAGAATGAGAAGAGTAGAGGTCCTGGGACAGGACCCTGCAGAAGACCAATATTTAAAAGCCAGGCAGAGGAAGGAGAGTCCCTGACCGTCAGAGACAGGAGCTACATCCTTCCAGAAGGCAAGAGAAAGGAGAGTTTCAAGCAGGGTGAGGTAAGTGATGTCAGATGCTGCCGACAGAAGTCGGATAAGGATAGAAGAGTCAGAACAGTATCCTTCGGATTCAATAACAAGGAAGTTCTTAGGAGGAGTTGTGGGTATTGAGGCCTGACTACAATAGGTTGAAGACTGGTCCAGTGGAGGTGGGGGCGTGGGTTAAGAGGAGTGAACCAGATGTGTAGACAAAACTTTCAAGAAGTTTGGTAGGGAGAGGGAGAGAGACAGAAAAATGGTGTCAAAAATAGTGTGAAATTGAGGAAGAAGGGATGTGAGTGTAGGTTTGTCTTTTGGATGTGTGTGCGTGCGAGAGAGACAAGAGCATTTTAAAATTTTTGATGGATAATGGGCCAAAAGAAAGGAAGTTTGAAGGTACAGATGAGAAAGCGGCTCATCAATAGAGCAAGGGCCCCTGAGAAAGCAGGACGTGAAGCAATTCAGAGCACAGGTGTAAGAATTGGCCTCACTTACCTGGATATCGTTGCTCACGTGCATGTGGATGCTACCTAGGCAGTCAAACTTTACACACAGAGACCCTGTTCACCACACCCATTCAGGTACTAACCCCACAGATGCATATGTTACTCAGGCTCACTCCAATGTTACCATAAAGATTTGGATGTTACCACTTTATTCCTGTATAATCCACACAGGCTTGAGTATTACCCATGTTCACTCAGATGCTACCCACAAAAAGACAGATGTTACCACCCTCACTTTACCATTGCCCACAGTCATTTAGATGTTACCCATCCACCAAATACTACTCACTTCCATTTTATTATTATCCACACACAATCAGATATTACCTATGCCCACTTAAGTAACCCTTCTCTAGATATTACCCTTAAAAATCACAGACATTACTCTCGCATACTCAGATATTACCCATAAAGGCTTAACTATTACCTACACTCACTCAGATGCTTATTTTACTCAGTTAGATTAACATCTTGACATGCTAACATCTCACATCCATACCCAGCTTAAATACTGCCCATGCATACTTAGATATTTTATCTGTTCACTCAGCTATTACTGTCATCGCTTGGCTATTCCCCCATTTACATAAAGACTTCTGAATGTAACCCATACTTCCTGAAGATGCTACTTATAAAATGAGATGTTATCTACTGAGTTGGATATTGCCCTTCCTCTTTCAAATGTTACAACACTTACTCCGATATTAACTAAACTTAAATGTAACCCACACTCTATCAGATATTGCCTAAAGACATGTAGATGTTACCCTTCTCCAGATACTGCCCACAGAAGTGTTACTTTTGCCCACCCGTATATTATCTCAAAGACTAAAGTATTACCCAATGCTCACTCTACATACCCTTGCAGATTGCCTTCGCTCCCTCAGTTGGTACCCATTGACACTTGGATGTCCCCTATTCACCCAGCTATTGCACACAGTCAGTTGGATGTGATCTCTGCTTACTACAGAGACAGGTCTTTGATGTCTGTGTGCATGGGTGACCAGATCCAACATGCTAGTGGAAGGCAGAATTCAAGGCATCAGCAGCTTCGGTGCTCTGTAGAATCCTTCCTTAGAAAAGTCTGGTTTTCATTTTATGCCATGCTGCCTGGATTGTTGTGCTCATACTTCTCTGCCATCATCTGGATAGAGAAAATACATCCTCAGGAAGATGATACCCACAGGTAGATTATCAAGGCACAAGTGACTGTATCCCAGGAGGTGCTATCTCCCATCCTTCCACCCTGCCTTAGGTTCCTGGTCACTGAAGCCACTGTAGTCACTCTTATTCAGACACACAAATGCACATGGATGTACACACACACACACACCCACACACAATTATGATTTACTTTGTGTGCGTGTGACTTTTTAAAATTAATAGAGTATTTTTAGAGCAGTTTGGGGTTTACAGAAAAATTGAATGGAAAATACAGAGAGTTCCCATATACCCTCACACACACACACACACGCATGATTTTACCCTATTATTAATATTTTGCATTAGTGTAATACATTTGTTACAATTGATAAGCCAATATTGATACATTATTAACTAAATTCTATAGTTTACATTAGAGTTGACTTTTGTATTGTGCAGTTCTGTAGGTTTTGACAAATGTATGATGACATGTATCCATCATTATAGTATCATACAGAATAGTTTTACTGCCCTAAAAATCCCCCGTACTTTACCTATTCATCCGTCCTTCCTTCTCCCCAAACCCCAGGCTGTAAGATTGCTTTTCATTAGAATTTTTTACATCTTCTAACTGTTCAACAGTAAAGACCTGGAGAGATTGTGGTGGCTGGGAATAAGATAATAGCTAGGAATGCCCAGTAAAACAGCAAAGCACTGTACGATTTTTGGTCATTTTTACTGGGACTTTATCCTCTAATTTTCAGGAGTTCCCAAGCAGATTGGAAACTTCATAAGGGTAAGATTTAGGTTCATCTTTCTGGTCCCCCACAGTTAGCTATTAATAAGTTCAGGGGCACACACATGGGGCACATCAGCTGGATGGATGCATGAGAAATGTTCTTTTCACACTTCAGAATGCTGTGCCAACTTGAGATGTGGCAACTGCACCAAGAATCAGTTGAAGAGAAACACCCAGAGGAGGTTGTGGAAGAGATGACAGAACTAGAGAGATTAAAGAGGTGGGGGTTAGGGTAGGAGGACAATGGACTTGGAAGAGAACACCCAGAGTGCCAGACAGACCATCAGCACTTTTTTTCTGAGACCAGGGACTTCTCTCACAGAGATCTCCCTCCCAAAGGTTCTTTATTTTTCCCTACACACAGACACACACACACACACACACACACACACTCCCCTCAAATTTATCACATATAAGCCTTCCATAATCCCTCCCTACAGAGAAGGGCCCAGCTTCCAAAAGAGACACAGACGGTTTGTATATAAAAGTAAAAGTTATGCATCCAAAATTGTAGCCTGTCACTGACCCTCCAAGGGCCTTCCAACATGTGTGTCCAAAGAGACACAGGCAGAGAAGAGAGAGCATGATGGAGTATCTCCACAGAAGTGAGGGATGAGGAGAGAAGAAGCAGGTGCATTTCTCTCTTGAAAGGCAAATTCACTCAAGATTCATTAACGAGTATGTGTTGACCGCCTCCTATGTGCTGGACATTATGCCAGATGCTAGGAGTATACTGGAGAATGAGATGGACCTTGCCCCTGTCCTCAAGAGGCTCATGGTCTAGTGAGGAAGACAGAGAGTTGAACAGTGAGAAATGCCGTGATTGAATATAGAGAGAGGGAGAAAGAGGCATATAGATCGAGATGTGATTGAGAGAAGGAGGCAGTATGATGAATGACAGAGCAGCCAGGGAGCAGTAGGAGGGAAAGCATTTTAGGGATCCAGAGACTTGGCTTCTATTTGGATTCAGCCCTTTACTGGCTGTGTGGTCCTGAGCAAATAATGTTACTACTGAGTTCGGTTTGGGAATATCTTATAAATAGCATTCCTTTGATGGCTACAACAACTCTAAATAAGTTGGTTATTATTATGAGAAAATACAGTCATGCATCACCTAACAATAGGGATACTTCCTGAGAAATGCATTGTCAGGCAATTTCATCATTGTGTGAACATCACAGAGTGTACTTACACAAATCTAGATGGTGTAGCAGCCTGATACACGCCTAGGCTACAGCCTATTGCTCCCAGGCTATAAACCTGTACAGCATGTTACTATACTGAATACTGTAGGCAATTGTAACACAGTGGTAAGTACATGTGCGTCCAAACATATTTAAACATGGAAAAGGCACAGCAAAAATACAGTGTAAAAAATTTTTTTAAAAAATAATACACCTGTATAGAGTACTTGCCGTGAGTGGAGCTTACAGGACTGGAAGCTGCTCTGGGTGAATCAATGGGTGAGTGGTGAGTGAATGTGAAGGCCTAGGGCATTACTGTACACTACTGTGGACTTTATAAACACTGTACACTCAGACTACATTAAATTTATTTTTTAAAATATTTTTCTTTCTTCAATAATGAATTAACCTTAGCTTAATGTAACTTTTTTACTTTATATGCTTTTTTTTAACTTTTTGACTCTTTTGTAATAACACTTAGCTTAAAACACAAACACATTGTACACCTGCACAACAATATTTTCTTTCTTTATATTCTTATTCTATATGCTTTTTTCTATTTTAATTTTTTTTTTTTACTTTTTACATCTTTTTGTTAAAAACTAAGATACAAACACACACATTAGCCTAGACCTACATAGAGTCAGGATCATCAGTATCACTGTCTTCCACCTCCATATCTTGTCTCACTGGAAGGTCTTCAGGGACAGGAATATGTATGGGGCTGTCATCTCCTGTAATAACAATGCCTTCTTCTGAAACACCTCCTGAAGGACCTTCCTAAGGCTGTTTTATAGTTAACTTTTTTTAAATAAGTAGGAGTACACTCTAAAATAACGATAAATAGTATAATAAATACATAAACCAGCAACATAGTCATTTATTATCACTATCAAGTATTACGTACTGTACCTAATTATATGTGCTAGACTTTTTACAAGACTGGCAGTGCAGTAGGTTTGTTCACACCAGCATCGCCACAAACTCAATGAGTAATGTGTTGCCCTTGACATTACACTAGGCAATAGGATTTTTTTTTCAGCTCCGTTATAATCTTATGAGAACACTGTCATATAACCAGCGATTCCTAATGTTTTTGGCACCAGGAACTGGTTTCATGGGTGAGGGGCGGTGCGGAGCTCAAGCGGTGATGCAAGTGATGGGGAGCAGCTGTAAACACACATGAAGCTTCACTAGCTCACCTGCTGCTTACCTCCTGCTGTGTGTCCCCGCCCCATTCCTAAGTTTCATGGAAGACAATTTTTCCATGGACAGGGGTGAGGGGGTGGCGACGGGGATTTGCAGCCTGATACCTAGCAAGCCACAGACCAATAACCGGTCTGCGGCCCAGAGGTTGGGGACCACAGATATGAGCAGTCTGTCGTTAACCAATACATCGTTATGTGGCACATGGTTGTAGTTCAGTTTAGGAGCTATGACAAGAGTTAGCCCACGTATGGGGCTATGGGAGAGAGGGCTACAGCTCTGATCCCTTCCCTCCTCCCAACCTGGGAGGCTCTGCCCCCTGCCCTCTCTCCCCAAGTGCCAATCTCCCTCATGATGTAGCCATGGGTGTAGGTGATTCAGTCCAGATCTGCTTGGCTGTGATGTGGAGGTCCAAAGATGAATCCATCTTTCAATAGACAATGACACAAACAAATGGGGTCAGCCTCCCAGCCCCTCTGCCGCACTCGGCAACACTAATGTACCCCTGTGAGCTCCCACAGCACCTCGTACACCCTCCAGCCTCACTCCTTATCACACCATGTGGCAACTAACTACCTGTTTGTGTATCTGAGTTTTTCTCTCCATGTGAGCTCTCAGATGGCAGGGAGTTTGTCATGTTCATCTCTTTGTCCTCAGTGCCTGGCACAAAGAGAATCCTCTGTAAATATTTGTTAAGTGAAAATGACTGTTTGGAGATAATTAAAATACAAGACAGAAAGTAAAAGGGGCTCTAATGGTTGTGTAAGGAACATGCATAGGTCAGAGGAAGAGGAGATTAATACCAAATGAGGTGTCCAGAATGGCATAACAGAAGAGATGGCAGTCAATTTGAGTCTTGAGGGACAAAGAGTGAACAGGAATTCACCAGCTACAGAAAATAAGCTTGTGATGGGGGGTGGAAGTGGGGAGGAGGGTTGATGAAAGGGTATTCCAGGCTGAGAAACCAACTTGAGCAGGGAGGAAGTCACGAGTGCACATGATGCATTCAAAAAACTGAGTCATCCAGTGGCTTAAGTGGGTGCAGTGCATGCAGGAGGTGGGAGGAGGAAGAAGGCTGTGCTCGGACGATCTTGATGACATGCTAAGGGTCATAGGCAGTAGAGAGTGAAGGGTTTGGGTGTTTTTTTTAGAGAATGAGGACATGATCTGATGTGATTCAAAATGCAGTGAGTGGGTAGTCAACAGTGACAAATGCTACAGAGAGGTTAAATAGAATAGGCTAAGAAGGGACCTTTGGATTTGGCAATTAAAGATTAGTGTCCTTGAGAAGAAGTGTCCAAATAGTGATGGGGTACAGAGCATTGGATTGTAATGGACTGAGGAGTGAATGGGAAGACACAAATATAATCCTTTCAAGAAGATTGGCTGCAAAGAGAAGACAAGATTTGAAACAAACCTTGAGAAGAGACAGGATCTCTTAAGGAAGGGTAGAGTTAGGCCAATTTAGCTGAGCCTCAGGGATTAGAAGGATAAAGCATTCAAATTCACTGTTTACTGGGTAGGTCGTGGGTGGGGGATGCAGGGATCTGGCTGGGGAGTGAGAGTTGGGTTTAAGTGGGATAGGAGTTTGGCTGAGTGAGGACTGACCCCCTACTGCCACTTCTCCCTTTACTGCCCAGAATTGGAGCTGGCCATTAGAGTCACGCTTTACGCAGTGATCTTCCTGATGAGCGTTGGAGGAAATGTGCTTATCATCGTGGTCCTGGGACTGAGCCGCCGCCTGAGGACTGTCACCAATGCCTTCCTCCTCTCACTGGCAGTCAGCGACCTCCTGCTGGCTGTGGCTTGCATGCCCTTCACCCTCTTGCCCAATCTCATGGGCACATTCATCTTTGGCACAGTCATCTGCAAGGCGGTTTCCTACCTCATGGGTGAGTGACATAACCACCCCACCATCCCTAACCCCTCTCTCCTCCTAAAGTCCTTGCCGGATGCAGGAGTCTTTCCCAGTTGGTAGGGGGAAGGGATGGAGGAAGTCACATTGGTGAGTGTATAGTGCAAGTTTCCTAGGTGATTCCTTCCTCTTCCCTTGCTTAGGGGTGTCTGTGAGTGTGTCCACGCTAAGCCTCGTAGCCATCGCCCTGGAACGGTACAGCGCCATCTGCCGACCACTACAGGCGCGCGTGTGGCAGACGCGCTCCCACGCGGCTCGAGTGATTGTAGCCACGTGGCTGCTGTCGGGACTGCTCATGGTGCCCTACCCTGTATACACAGTCTTGCAACCAGTGGGGCCTCGTGTGCTGCAGTGCGTGCATCGCTGGCCCAGTGCGCGGGTCCGCCAGACCTGGTGAGGGTGCCCACAACCTATCCAATGAATTCCCTTCTCCATCTTTATCAGATGCTTACGACCATTCCCCAGAACTTTCCTCCAGCTGCTCCAAGAACTACCACGCCAACTGCCATTCCTCATCCACCACCTTGGGGGTCCATACCCAGTTCTCTAGCCCTTCCCAGCTGCACCCCTAAACCCTATTCCTGCCTCAGGTACCTGGCCACAGCCCTAGAAACACCAACCCTTGGCTCTTTCGCCATCTATGATTAGAGACGGTCAGAAACCCGCGTGACTGGGCTGTGTTCTGTCTCCAGGTCGGTACTGCTGCTGCTGCTCTTGTTCTTCATCCCGGGTGTGGTTATGGCCGTGGCCTATGGGCTTATCTCCCGTGAGCTCTACTTAGGGCTTCGCTTTGACAGTGACAGTGACAGCGAGAACCAAAACCGGGTCCGAAGCCAAGGAGGACTGCCGGGTGGGGCTGGACCAGGTAGGTGAAATCCAGGAGAGGCGGAGCTTTAGAAAGGAGGTGGGGCCTACTGGAGTGGGTGGGGCCGAAAGGGGTATGAGAAGAAGGCCAGAAATAGGGTTGAGATGTGGGGAGGGGGCTGGTGCTGGTAGGGGGGGATTGGGCTGGACATTGGGAGGACTCTGGCTTCTGCTCTGACTGCCCACTCTCTGTGCTCAGGTCCTGTGCACCAGAACGGGCGTTGCCGGCCTGAGACGGGCCTGGCTGGCGAGGACAGTGATGGCTGCTATGTGCAACTTCCGCGTTCTCGGCCTGCACTGGAGCTGTCAGCGCTGACCGCTCCCACTCCTGGGTCAGGACCCGGCCCCCGTCCCACCCAGGCCAAGCTGCTGGCTAAGAAGCGGGTGGTGCGAATGTTGCTGGTGATCGTTGTGCTCTTCTTCCTGTGTTGGTTGCCAGTGTACAGTGCCAACACGTGGCGCGCCTTCGATGGCCCGGGTGCACACCGTGCACTCTCAGGTGCTCCAATCTCCTTCATCCACTTGCTAAGCTATGCCTCTGCCTGTGTCAACCCCCTGGTCTACTGCTTCATGCACCGTCGCTTTCGCCAGGCCTGCCTGGACACATGCTCCCGCTGTTGTCCCCGGCCTCCACGAGCTCGCGCCAGGCCTCTTCCAGATGAGGACCCTCCCACCCCCTCCATTGCTTCCCTGTCCAGGCTGAGCTACACCACTATCAGTACGCTGGGGCCTGGCTGAGGGGTACAGGGAGTGTGGGGGCTGAGGCAGGGCAGATGAAAGCATTGACCCATCTAGTCACACAAAACACACTGACCACAAATGACACAAGAAACTGACACGCAACAGCATGGACTAACCCCAATGCACAGGAAAAGGTAGTTTACCTGACACAGAAGAAACAAGAATGGAACGCTATACAGGAAAGGAAGTATACTTCCAATATGGGACTGAGCCCAGCCATAGAAACATGGCACTGACCTTGGACAGACACAGACACCACATTCCTAGCAGTGAACTATTTCTACACAGTGGGAACTCTGCCAAGAGATGGCCTGCCCCTAACAAACATAAATTAATGGAACTGACTCTTTTAGGAGTTACGGAGCCTGACACAGGACTGACTCCTGGGATGCTCCAGGCTGTCCCCAGTTTGACCTCACAATGCCCTTCTTCAACCAGCACTGAAAATACCATCAGGCCTAATCTCATACCTCCTTGACCAACAGGCTGTTTTGCACTGAAAAGTCCCTTCGTCCCTTTCCAGTTAAGGACTATGGCTCTGTCCCCTTCTTCCTCACCCAAACTCTTCAAGAAATAATAAATCACTTAGCTTCCTCCTGGAATTCGTTTCTGTCTGGACTTTTGGGGGGCAGGTGAGGAGGCAAAGAATTTTGTGGTGTTCTCCCTCTCAGGTCTCCCCGACTGCTGCCTACTCCTGTGTGTGCACACCCCCCTTCCAAAAAGCCCATGGCCTCAGGCTCGATGTACATTCTCTCTGGGTTGTCATCCTGGACCTACGTACACTCCTGTGTCGTAGTAACTGGGCGTGGCGTTGGGAGGTGGTATGTCCATGACATGTCATGATTCCTGATCACATTCTCCCAAAGCGGTGCCATTGGTAAGGTACTATATTAATGGATGCTTATTAAAATTCTGATGAAAAGATAAAAGAGGAAGCACTGTATAATAAGACACAGTTTATTCAATGTGTGTTGAAACATCAGGGACCAGACCATGACAGGTGTACAGAAGTTAATTAAAGAGTAGGGCCTTTTTCTTGCACATTCACTCATCCCCTGCATCAGAACCTAGCCAAGATTCTGCCAAATGGAAGCACCCTTATGAGCCACAACAACAAAGAGGCCCGGGGCTGGGGACGGGGTTGTTGGGGTACAGGCTGGCTCTGAGTGAGAGTCTGAGAACTCAGCCTCCCTTTTGACTATAAGACTGATCTAGCCCCAGAGAGAGGCAGAGACCAGCAACATCATCTCTCCACACAATGACAAACAGATGAGGAAGAGCAGGAACTGAGGACCTCACCAAGGGGACATACATGGATAATCAGAGGCATCGCGTATTGGAAGAGGGGTGTCTTGGTACTTCATCTTGTAACAGGCAGGAGAAACCGAGACCCAGAGCTGGAAAGAAAGTTGCCCAAGGTCATACAATAAGTTAGAGCAAGACAGAAATAATCATACTGAGTTAGACACTGAGCTGGAGATGGGGAAGAAGCCGCACCCATGAGGGGCAGATCCAAGTCCCGTGGGACCTAAGGTTTATAAAATTGGGTGCCCCTTAAAAAAAAAAACATACAAAATTACACATACAAAATTGCTGGAACCCCGACGAGGGCCTTGGAAGAGGCTTATGCAAGAGAGGAGCCCTGAAATTTAAGCCTCGTTAGCTTTACAGCCAATGTGCCTCTAAAATCCACCCACTAATTACCCGGGAGAAAGGCTGGATGGAGGGATGACAGTGAGAAAGGAGCATGGGTCTTCTGTTTACCAGGGCTAGGGTTGCTCCCATCCATCGTTTCTACAGAATTCTGGACTGCAAGAGGCAGGAGGAAGGAAGAAAAGGAGGGAGAAGGCATTCCAAGCTGTCAACCTACGACAGTGCTGGTTAAAAATAGAATCCCAGCTGGTCTGAGCAGCTGAAGGCAGATATTGGGCCTTTCTCTCTCATGCCAATTTTTCTGCAGGGTGGGAGCAGGCCTGCCCTTATACTCCCCAGCACTCCCCATGGTCTCTTCTGAAGGGATAACAAAGGCCGCCCCTCTGTTAGATTAGTCCCAGCTAGGGACTGAGCTACTGTTGACCACCAGGGGGCAGTGAGGCTCGGTGTAGGGGGAGGGCTGGGTCTGGCCTCTGAGCCTGGAGTGTGCACCTGCGTGCAGTGTCCTGGGCCTAGCCAACGACCTAGCACACAGGCATGGCCCACTTCACACATGGCAGCCCTTTAGTCTACAGAACATTTGCGCCTCCATCACCTGCCACTGTGCTCTTTCCAGTTTCCAGATGTGGAATCTTGGGCTCCTCCTATCTATTTTCCATTTCTTGAATCCTGACAAAACAGGTCCGGATGTAATGTCACTGACCCCATGAAGTCCCGCTTGGTCACTTTAGCAAAGCTTGTATTCTCATACGGTACTGACTGCTTTCTCTCTTCTATCACACTCCGTTTTGTTCCTGCCTGATGTCTCCTATTTGACTGGGAACGGCGTGATGTAGTAGGCAGATGACTGAGCCTGGTTGGGTGATGGAGGAGGTGGTGGTGAAATCTAATGCTTCTTGGTGCTCTGTGGCAGGCATTTTATATACACTGATTCATTTCATTCTCAGAACATGTCTACAGACCATTTCCCCTCATTCAACAAATGAGGAAAGTGAAGCTAAGAAAGCTGAAAGGGAGTTATAGGAGATCCAACAGCCAGAATACAGCCAAGATCTGAGCTCAGGAACCTGACTCGAAAGCTTTTTCTCTTTCCATTATACTGTGTTGCCTTCTTTCAAGTCTCGAAGATCTTTTGAGTCCTGGTCCTGCCTTTAAAAAGTTGAGTGATTTTGTGCAAGTTATCTCAGTGAGTTTCAGTCTCGGCAGTAAAATAGGAATAATTATATTAACCTCATACTGCCATTTTGAAAATTAAGTAAAACAAGGCTCAAAAAGTGCTTACGAGCTACTTGGGAGGCTGAGGCAGAAGGATCGCTTGAGCCCAGGAGTTTGAGGTTGCTGTGAGCTGGCCTAACGCCGTGGCACTCACTCTAGCCCGGGCAACAGAGTGAGACTCTGTCTCAAAAAAAAAAAAAGTGCTTACAATTGTACCAGGTACATAGCATAAGAAGGGTTCAACTTGAGGTTGCAATGACACCAGGAAAAAAGACCCTCTGCTGACAGTCACCCATAACTAACAGGGACAGAACTCTGGGTCCAAGAGGAGGCTCAGGGCCTGTTATAAGATGGTATTAGAAAGTGGTGAAGTCAGGATTTGAACCCAGGTCTGCCTGATTCCAAAGCCCATGCTCTCTTTTCAGTGCATATCCTGACTCTGATCTTCCAGAGGGATCATTCAGGGCTGGAGAGGAATGAACTGGTTGGAAGCAATTTGGAATCAATCAAGACTCTTCCCAGGGCTCCAAGTAGTAGAACCGATGTTAAGTCTATAGCTCTGCCGGCTTGGACCCCTCATCAAGCCCCAGTTGTAGTGTTCCCATCCCTGCAAGGAAGCCCCTGGCGATTGACTTCCACCAAACAAGACAGGGAGCAGCTGTCCTGGAAATCTCACACCCTCACGCCTTCCAAGAAAGCAGGTTTCATGGCTAAGTCTCAGAAAATCTGGGGTGAAATGAGGGAAAACCAGAGAAAGGGAGGTGTCACAGTGAACATACACAGGGTGGACCTTAGGCCAGAAGTTGGCTCCTCTCAGAGACATCTCCATCCAGGGTCTTGGAGGACCATGCACTCCGGTTAGTCAGGTCTGACTAGTGGGAAGCAAGGGACACTTTCTCGAAAAACTCTGTTCCTTCCAGTTATCTACAAGACAGGACAGACAGAAGGGAAAGAAAGAAAGTTGAAGGGATGGGGAAGAAAACAGGTCCCATCTGAGATCTAAGCTTTGTTGCTGAGACACAATGCCTAGAGGTGGGGCTCTTCTAGAAACTGTAGCCCTCACTGCAGATTCTAGACATGGTCCTTTGGCTGCTTCCTGCTCTGAGCCTCCTTCACTGCCTCCCAACCTCAGGAAGCACTTGGTCAGCCAGACTCTCAGTTCATCGTTAGCAACATGCACAAAGATTAGCACCTCCCTCTGGATAGGGCCCAGTCTTTTGGAAACAGAAGTCTGACCCAGCTCATCACATCTTGGGAAGGAAATAGTTAACCAATTAGGCCCAGTGAAGTAGCACTTTGTCTTAATCAAACAGGTTTGGGCTTCAGAACCCTAACTAGGCATATAAGTAGTAAGAGATAAGACATGGAGGGCTCTTGAAGAATGTACAGTTGAATGATAAGGCTGGTTTGAGTGATAAGGCTGTTCAAGTTCCCAGGGTGAAACAAGCAGGCTTTCAGCAATGTGGGAGAGGTAGAAACCTGATACATTCCCTACGGGATATATGATCCCAACTAAGATTTAAGAAATAGGGCTATAACATTGAACGTGGGATGGAGGGGCAGGTGTAAACGCCCCACCTGGACAGGGGCAGAGCCTTCCAGCTGGAGCTCAGTTTGTGGGCAGGGGAAAGAAATCCTTTTCCTGCCTCAAACCAGGGATGACTCCCTGACCCTTCCAAATTTAGTAGTATAGGCCCTCCCTGAAATAATGGGGTGGTACTTCGGGGCATTTGAAGGTCAGCTCCCCATGCTGCCTAGATGTGTGGACCTGTAGTTCAGCCCAGAAAAGGCAAGGTCAAAAGCAATGAGGTGGTTGAGGCAGGAAAAGTCTGACTTTAAGTATGGAATTTTTAGTTACTGCAGCCAGAGACGGGGACAGCCCTCATATATGTCAGGGAACAGCTGCACCCACTAACTTGGAATGGTGATGCAGGTCAAACCAGAACTAGACAGCAAAAGTGGAAATCTGGCCAGAGGAGACAAATATGCAGCTATGATATAGGGAGCTAATACCAGTGCCCTGGTGTGAACACTGGTCTGGTTGGCAGAAGGATCTGGTATTCAGTCTTCTTCAACATCAGTTACTAACTATGGAAAGACAAGCTCTGACGGGTTACTTTTCCTTTCTTACCTTTAGTTTCCTTCATCTATCAGTATCTCTCACCTGCAGATACTTCACGGCTTGCTATGTATTAATAGTTGTGAGGGTTACGTGAGATGGAAGTGCTGTCTCCTTTGGAAAATGTATGAGCTCAGTAAAATTGTTAGAGACCCTAGATTGAGACAGTCCTGGCACCCACCCCCATATGTAATCCAAAGTAAAAATGACACTGAAGCATGACATTCAGGTAATGAAGTTCAATAAACTTGCTCCTTCCCCATCATGAGCACTTCAGAGTATTTTTTGAAATGTCAAACATTGATTTACTTATTTTAAATTTACTAGTCATATACGAACATGGTTTAAAAAGCCAATTATTTCTACAACATTAAGACAAATAGTAGTCCCAGCCTCCTGCCTTGCTGTTTCTCAATTCCCCTCCCCCAGAAGGAATCACTTTCAAATCTTTTATCCTTTTTTTTTTTTTTTTTTTTATCTCCACATCTTTGTACAACATGTGAATATTACTTCTTGGTTTTTCTATTTGGCAGCATTATCAACAGACTACCCATCATAGAAGATGACGGTTTAACTTTCATTTGTACCACCAGCCCACCAGACACACATTGC